ATCTAATTGTTCTATAGTCTGTTTAGCCAGATAATTCCACAGCTTTTTATAACCCTAGTATATCCATCAAATGTGGCTTTGGTAGAGTTATGTCTCCATAAAAGTAGAGTTTGACTTCATGATCAACTCACTGTACTTAATAGACCACTAACTCCCTTTCCATGAGAAGCAACAGAAAAACAAAAGCCAACCTTGCCTACCTTCCTTTCCTTTTGCCAAAGAGGGTCTCATTGTTTGTATGCCCTATATTTGCATGGTCTGATGCCCTGCATGGCTTGTCTTAGGCCCTAGGGATCCCTGAAGATGAATTATGGTTCCAGGTAGAACCCAAAGTAAGCTTGGGAAATCAGCCCCTGCCTGAAGGTCTTCCATTGGTTTAGCTATGATTTCCAATTCAAAAGAGCCCTTAATGATCAGAAATACAGCATTGAGAGGCAGGATGGCATAGACTTCATGTCTCTAGAGCCAGACAAACTGTATTGCAATCCCAGTTCCACCAGCTACTCAACATGGAAGCATTAACAATTGACCTAATCTTGTGGTTTCCTCATCTGAAGAATGGGAGTGATAATAATAGTTTCTGCTTCATTAGGATTGTTATGAGAATGATTAAATGAGTTAATATATGTAAGGAATATAGAACAGGGCCTAATTTATAGTAAACACTATTAAAATTTCAGCTAGTATTTTTCTTTATTATTTTTTTATTTTTTTTAATGTTTATTCATTTTAGAGACAGAGACAGAGCATGAATGGGGGAAGGTCAGAGAGAGAGGGAGACACAGAATGTGAATCAGGCTCCAGGCTCTGAGCTGTCAACACAGAGCCCGATGCGGGGCTCAAACTCACGGACCGCGAGATCATGACCTGAGCCGAAGTCAGTTGCCCAACCGACTGAGCCACCTAGGCGCCCCTCAGCTAGTATTTTTCTGATTACAATTATTATTGTTACCATTTGTATTATTGATAGAGATAATATAATAGTCTGCTCCCAAGTCAGCTCAAAATGTCCTGTGTCAGAGATTGTTGCTTTCATCCAGCCCTTTCAACCTATCAGAGCCAGGAGAGATTATCTGGCTTTGTTGTGCTTTTAACCCAAGGCCTGAAGAAGACTCTGAGCCCACAGGAGGAGCTGAATTAAATCCTCAGAAGAGTATGTGGGTGCTGAGTGATTGATAGCCTTCTACACTTAGAGTAGTTTCATTCCTTTTTTTCAGTGTTAAAATTACTACATGTACATTAGATTACATAGCAGAGTGTATGTAGTGAGTGTAAATTTTTTAGAAAATATTTTTAAGATATATTGAATGAGAACAATACCAACACCAAACAAGCTGATCTAATATGGCACCTTTCTGGGCAAATTACTTCCTTTCTCTGAGTTTTGGTTTTCTCACTAATACAATGAGAGTTTAGAATTAGCAAATCTTGATAGACCTGTAGCTGTACTATTTTAAACATTCTCAAGGTTCAAATTAGACTCTTCTTTGGGGAAAATAAGTCAGCATATTGGGGCAGAGTTGATAACACACAAATATTTTACACATATCCACCCAAATAAAAGCATTTGATTCGATTTGATGATTATATTTTACTAGTAATGTGTAGCCTTCCCCTCTCTTTTTGTTAAGAAAACTTTTCTCATAGTGTAACAAGTACTGACTTGATATTGTCTTTTTCATTTTCACCAATTCTTACGGTGAAAGTGTATAGTGGTGCTGCACTGTGCTTTTCATTTGCATTTTCTCTGATGACTGATGATGTCAAACGTCTCATGATTTGGGGCCATTTAGCGTCTCTTCAAGTCGTTTGTCCATTTTTCCATTGGGTTCTCTCCTTTTTCTTATTGATTGGTAGGAGTTGTAATTAATAAATTAATGAACTTTAACCAGTTCTGGATACCAGTCTTTGATGAATATTTGAGCTGCAATGTCTTCTCCTACTCTGTTTCTTCCTTTTCACTCTTAGTGGTGTCTTTTCATGAATAGAAGTTCCTAATTATAATGGAGTCCATTTTATCAGTGCATAACATTACTGCCAGTGTTTTTTTATGTTTTGTTTAGGAAGTCTTTGCCTGTCCCCAGATCAGGAAGATATTCTTGTTTTCTTTTACAAGCTTTATGATCTTATTTTTCATAGTAAAAATTGGTGATTTTTGTGCATGTGTCTGGTGTGAGATAGTAGTCCACATATATCACTTTCCATATGTGTATTCAGTTGGCCAAGCATAATTTGTTAAAAGGATCATTTTTTTTCCTTTACCATAGTGCAGTTTGTCTTTGCATTAGTCAAGTGACTGAATTTGTGTGGATCTGTTTTTGAGCCCTCTGTTTCATTCCATGGTCTATTTTTTCTTCTTTGCTAATATCACATTTTCATAAGTAATGTAACTTTATAATGAATCTTGGTATTTGATAATATAAGACCTCCAATGTACCATGTCTATCTTAGTCCCTTTGCATTTCCATGTAAGTTTTAGAATCAGTTTGTCAATTCCCACAAAAAGTCTGCTAGGATTTTGATTGATACTGCATTGAGTCTATAGGTCATTCTGGGAAAAATCGACATCTTCATTATTTTGACTCCTCCAAACCACACATGTGGATCTCTCCCCCTCCCCCCCGGCCCCCCCCCCTTTATTGGTTCTTTAATTTCTCTTAACATTGGATTGTGGTTTACAGTGTAGGGTGTATATCTTTCATTGGATTTATTCCTAGGTGTTTGACACTGTATGATGTTAATGTAAATGGCATTATGCATTTCGTTTTTTAAATGTTTGTCACAGGCTTATTGAAATGACCTTTTGTGTACATAACCATGTTGACATGCTAATGACAGTTTAATATATTTTTCTAATCTTTATATATATAATTTTTACTGTCTGATAGTCTTTTTAATTGAAACATTATACATTTACATTTAACATAATTACTGTATATTTGTATTTTTATTTGTCATTTTATACACACACACACACTTTCATTTAACTTTTTCTGGCCTTATTGTTCTGAATAGCACTTTCATTACAATATTGAATAGAAGTAGTGATAGTACGCATACTTATCTTGTTCTCAATGTCAAAATAAAAGCATAAACTTTCAATATGTATTGATACATACATATCACATCTTCTTTAGCTATTCATCAGTCCATGGATACTTGAGCCCTCTCTATAGTTTGACTATTGTTGACAATGCTGCTCTAAATATTTGGGTGCAAGTACCCCTTCAAATATGCAATTTTGTATCCTTCGGGTAAATACCTAGTAGTACAATTGCTGTATCATAGGATAGTTCTTTTTTTAACTTTTCTGGGGAGGCTCCATGTTGTTTTCTAGACTGGCTACACCAGTTTGCATTCACGCCAGCAGTGCAAGAGGGTTCCCCTTTCTCCGCATCCTCACCAACACCTGTTGTTTCTTGTGTTGTCAGTTTTAGCCATTCTGACAGGTGTGACCCTCCCTGCATTCCTTGTTTCTGCCTGGAGTCATTTTTCTTCAAGTTGAAGAATTCCATTTGGGGATTGTTTTTAGTGCTGTCCTGCTGGCAATGAATTCTCTTAATTTTTGATTGTCTAAAAATGTCTTTATTTCACATTTATTGAAGGAAATTTTTCCTAGTATAGAAACCTAAATATGTGCTACGTTATTTAATAGTCTTATGGATGGGTACAAAATTAATTTTCATAATTTATAATATTTACATTGATCTTGGTGTTCTAGTCACTATCATGGGTTTTATCCTAACATCCTCCTTCTTTCTGGCGTTCTGTAATAAAAATAGTCTAGAATGTGGAAGAGAAAATACCTTATGAATTTGAACAAGCCGTTTAACTTCTTAGAGCCAGGTTGCATGGGAAAAATATAGTGGCTGTACGTCACTATGAAGTTATGAGATTCTGTTTAGTTATATCTGGAAGTTGCTTTGTAATATATGTAAAGTACCAATTAGATAGAAATGTTTAGTGTTACTGTTATGTACTGAAACAGAAACATCTCATTGTATTCAGTATATCCAGGATTCTCTTATTAGTGAACATTTTTATGATACCCACAAAATGGTTAAAATGATAGTATTCATGTATATATTTATTTATACAGACACTACCTTTTATAAGAAAGTGGGACAGTGTTTAAAGTTACATAAAACACAACTTACACAAGGTTGGTTGTAAGTTTATTCCTGATTTTTCAAGCAACTAACATGAAAAGAGAGACCTGGCTAGTTACATAATCCAAAATACTCATGAGATTAAAAATAATCCATTAATTTAGGAGAAGTACAGTTCTTTCTTAATATTAAGTTCAGGCAAGATTTCCCCCTTTTCTTAATGATGCAGAGTTATTTAAAAGATTATTCTGCTGGTTTAGAGGTTACTGATTTGCATGGTTAATCCTATCAGTGTCAGACTGATCTAGAATTTTAATACTCTTATTTCATACCCTCAAAGGGAGAATTATATACATTTTAATGTGAGCTACAAGTAGCTGCTTTTCCACCCTACTTGTAAATGGATTCTATTCAGAAAACTAATAAAGAATGCCAGCTTCCTTTTCAAAATGCTTGGATACACATTTGAGGGAAGTTTAGGCTGATAAATTAAAATTTTGTTTTGTATATAATTAACAAAACTGCCTTAGAAAGATATTTAGCTGTATTTTATTGTTCCTTCATAGAGGTTCTTTACTACATTGATCAAATGTTTATTTACCCTACTGTGTGCAGACATAGTAGGTTTGTTTGTTTTCCTCTGACAAAAAGTGGTCATTCAGACTTAACATTTTGTAAGGTTTTTTTTTTTTCACTTTACCCTCTTCATTTATTAAACATGTGTTTAAATGGAAAAGAAATATAGTACTGAAGCTTTTAAACAAACAAAAAAATCAAAGGATATGTTAGTGTCTCACAACCAATGCCCTGATACATCCAAGGTTTTATATGGTGATCAAATTTAAAATAGGGCATTTGTTCCTTATTTAATTTCTTTGACTTTGTCTTTAGGTCTCTGGCATGCATTTTATATGAGATGTGCTGCATGAACCATGCGTTCACTGGCTCCAATTTCTTGTCCATTGTTTTAAAAATTGTTGAAGGTGACACGCCTTCTCTCCCCCAGAGATACCCAAGAGAACTGAATACCATCATGGAACGGTATGGAAATAAATATGTTGCCACAAAAACAATTTTAAATTGTACTTATATTTTAGTTCATTTGAAAAATAATTTTCTTTTTCTTTTCTTTTTTCTTTTTCTTTTCTTAAAATAATTTTCTTTTTAAACATTACAGCATGTTGAACAAGAGTCCTTCATTGAGACCATCTGCTATAGAAATTTTAAAAATTCCTTACATTGATGAACAACTACAGGTATTTAAAATGGAAGGGATACTGGGAAACCTGTATTAGCATTTATATACATTCTAGAACTTGAAGATATGCTGTGAGAATAAGATGCATCAAGAATCAGTGAGAAAGGAGAAATAAGATTTTTTTTTTTTAAGCTGAGGGATATTATTAGTCAGACAATCTATTTGGAAAAGAAGGTGTGTGAACTCCACAGTTACCTGGAGCCCCAGATATGAGAAGTTAGGATTGTAATTTTTGGCCCAAACTCAACATTGACCCATAGAGCTCTTGGTTTACTTTGCAAATATATTTCTGCTAAGGCAAGAATGCGCTACTAATACTACTAAAATCTGGGGTTTTCACTGAGTCTTTGTTATTCCACTCCTTTGTTATGGGTCTTAATAATCCATTTTATTGATCAGGTGAATTTATTTTGTTTTCCTGTAGATTAGAAATTTTGATGCAGAGAATCTACCTCTGGTGGTAAGAAAAAAGCAAACGGTACCCTATTGGAGATTTTTGTTTTTGTTCTTGTTTTTTAAATTAGGCTTTTGTGAGTGCCTCAGGCAAATTTCCTTTAATTTTATGACTAATTTTAAGTGGACCCACAAACAGTCATTCACCTTCAAACATGGGCACACTTTTTCGTCCGCGTCCAGTTTCTACGTTGGCAGGAAACAAGGATGCTGACTTGATGTGCACCCATCAGTTGTGTGCTGGTCACAGTGCTGATGCTGGAGGTGCTGAAAGGAAGGCCTATGGCTCCCGTATTTTGCAATTTGATTGCTGGGAAGAGGACCCAGTACCCAAGAAAAAGTAATCATACATTATCAGGAACACTAGGAAGAAAGCACACAGGATGCTGTAAAGTAAGGGAAGGGGATGGCTTTGGTGGTCAAAGAAAGAGTCGGTTACATTTCTCTACCAGTGAGATGGTGAAAAACACCCAGACATGTAAAGAGCCTGAGAGAATGTTGGAATCACAGGGAATTAGCTGGGACAGAGCCCAGAGTCAGATTATGTTTCTAAAGGGAGACATGGAGGGAAGGGTTCTTATGCAACAATGTGCTCTCTACAGAAGCCCCTGAGGAAAAGTGGGGTGAGCAGGACAGGGGATGGAAGGGAGGTAGAAGTTTCCAGGGACTTTTGGCTTTCGCTATGTATAACTTTCCCTATGCAAAGCCAGTTCCATTAGCCTAAGGGCAGGCCGCTGAAAAAGAGGCACAGGTACTAACTGTTGGGATCAAAACCACCCTGATGGGGCTGTGAGCATACCAAAAAAAAAAAAGTTGAAAGGAATCCAAGGGGATCTGCTGGGACTAGCGTGAGGTGAGTAAGGCATTTGCCCTTGGACAAAATTAAAGAGACCATCAAAAACTCAGTAATCAGGATAAATAACATTTGATTGCAGTGTTTAAAAAATCCAAATTAGGGGCGCCTGAGTGGCTCAATTGGTTGGGCATTCGACTCTCGATTTCAGCTCAGCTTATGATCCCAGGGTCATGGGATCAAGCCCTGCGTTGGGCCCTGTGTTGACAGCATGGAGCCCACTTGGGATTCTCTCTCTCTCTCTCTCTCTCTCTCTCTCTCTCTGCCCCACTCCCACCCCTCTCAAAATAAAAAAATAAACATTTTGTAAAAAATCCAAATTAATAGGGCGCCTGGATGGCTCAGCTCATTGAGCATTCAACTTTGGCTTAGGTCATGATCTCACGTTTCCTAGGTTTGAGCCCCCCATCTGTGCTAACAGCTCAGAGCCTGGAGCCTGCTTTTGATTGTGTGTCCCTCTCTCTCTCTCTGCCCCTCCCCCACTCACACTCTGTCTCTCTCTCAAAAAATGAATAAACATTTTAAAAATTCTAAAAGTCCATGGTAACAAAATATCAAAAATTCAAAGACGGGATCCAACAGGGCTGGGATTAGGGTGATGCAAATGAGGTAGTCTGGTGCATGTTCAGGGTTGGGTCCTGTCTTTATAAAGTTTTATTTATTTTATTTTCTTAATTCTAGTATAATTAACATAAAGTTAACAGTTATATTAGCTTCAGGTGTACAATACGGCGATTCACCAGTTCTGTATGTACATTATTCAGTGCTCATCGCACAGTAAGTGTACTCTTAATCCTCGTCACGTTTCCCCATCCCCCACCCACCTGGCAACCAGCAGTTTGTTCTCTATACTTAAGGGTCTGTTTGTTTGTCTCTTTTTTCCTTTGTTTTGTTTCTTAAATTCCACATAAGAATGAAATCATATGATATTTGTTTTCCTCTGACTTACTTTACTTAGCATTATACCTCTAGATCCATCCATGTTGCAAATGGCAAGATGTAAACATTTGATATTGTATTCTCCATGGCTTTTTGCATTAATTTTGATTTTTCATAATATTGCCTTAAAATATGACTTATCTTGGTTACTGAGTCTTTTGGTGCCCCTTCAGTTTTGCACCTGCAGTGAGTGCCTCGTTCTGTCCCACCCTAGTCTTGGCCCCAGGAGTGGGGACACGGACCCAAGGCCGGGGAGAGCCTGTGTGTTCATGGAGCTGATGGGAGGCCTGCCCGTGGTGGGTAGCAGGGAGAGAGCAGGCAGTGCAAGATGAACTTGGAGAGACAAGTATAAGCTGCGTAAGCTACCATGCAATTTTTTGTAACCCTTTATAGAAGGAAAAATAGTTACCAGTGGGTTTTATTTTCAAGCTCCCAGGCATGGTCATTAATACTGCACATCAGAAAAGACCCCTGGTAGTTTTATGCCCTTTCATCCCTGAAGAGGAGTATTTAAGATGCATCAGGGTTGTTTTCTATTTTAGCACCTGATGTGTAGATATTCGGAGATGACTCTGGAAGACAAGAATTTGAATTGTCAGGAGGAGGCTGCTCAGATAATTAATGCCATGTAAGTAATTGCTTGTTTTTAAAAAGCCCATTGAGCATAAATGTTAAATGCATTTGTCTTTAAAAATCTATTAGTGCTAAGCTGACTGCTTGGAGTTTCCTAGAATTCACTTAAGTCTTGCCAAGAAATTAAGGAGCTTCAGTATCTTGGCGTTCCAAAGCCCCTTTGCCCCAGGTGGTAGCAAATTGAATTATAAAAGTTTTAAACCACTGCACAGCTTACAGATCTGCAGGGTAGCTCTGCAGTTGCCTTGTAAGTATATAGAGAAATTAATATCTCAAACATTTAGTGATATTTATGCTAATGAACCTTCTATATTAAGCATAAATGGTTTTCACATCTTGTTTGTTTAACAGGAACTGGCAGAGTATCTATTGAGAAGACAACATTGTAAAGTCCTAGGACAATTGAAAATAAGCCAAAATTTATTTCTTCAGATACACATATAACTAGAGAATGTGTTTTTCACAAATATAATTATTACTATTTTTTGAAAGTTCATTTATAAATATAGAGATATATAACTATGAAGAGAGCACAAGTCGGGGAGGGGCAGATAGAGAGAGAGCGAGAGAATACCAAGCAGGTTCTGTGCTGCCAATGCAGAGCCCAGTGCAGGGTTTAATCCTGTGAACTGTGAGATCATGTCCTGAGCTGAAACCAAGAGTCAGACGCTCAACTGATTGAACACCCAGATGCCCCAACAAGCATAATTATTTCTTAAAAAAAATTTGTTTAATGTTTGTATGTATTTTTGAGAGGGAGAAAGACAGAGTGTGAGCAGGGAAGGGGCAGAGAGAGAGGGAGTCACAGAATCTGAAGCAGGCTCCAGTCTCTGGGCACAGAGCCCAGTGTGGGGTTTGAACTCACGAGCCACGAAATCGTGACCTGAGCCGAAGTCAGACGCTTAACCTACTGGGCCACCCAGGCGCCCCCATAATTATTTAACTTCTCTCTCCTACCTCATTCAAAATTTCTGTGCTATACCATACAAGAGCATAGAATACTAGGTTACTTCTGAACAGCCATGTATCGCCCTTCAGGCTGTGGACTGCACAACTCCAGGGAGCACCACTTATAAAGACCAAATCTACAGTTTTGCTGAAGGAACTCTCTATTTAATTTTTAATGACCCTGTGCAAAGGTAGAGATGTGCAAGGCTGTAGGTGGGAACAGTAGCCCTCATTAGCCTAATCTTCAAGGCCAAATAACACAGATATGTTACTCTACCCCTTAGTCCAGTGGTTTTCAACTGCACTGTTTTCCAGTTTCACATTCAAACTGAGGAAACTGGTTCCTCAAAGTCTTTGTCTAATGCATGATTTCCAGTTAAAATAGCCTGTACCTCAGGGGCTAACTAGGAGAAACCTACTTTCCTTGAGTTGCTAATTATTCTTTCCCGAATGCCTGGATTCTTATTTTATTTTATTTTATTTTAAACTAGAGATGTGAGAGTAGTAGGTATTTTTTAAATACTAGACTAATTTTGGCTATTACTTTGCACTGCAATTGTGAGATAGTTTACCTGATGGCACTTACAATTAAAGTGTGCTGGAATCCAATTGTTTGGGTGGTCTTTCTCATCATAAAATATGATTTCAAGTTGTCACTTTTTTCACTATGTATGACTATGTTTTAGGGATCTCTATTTGATCTTACAAAATAAAGGATGTATATTCCAGAAAATTTTGTGTCTTCTAGAGGCTCCAACTGTATTCCAGAGGGATAAGAGCTATCTACAAGTAGCCATTATAATTACACAAAATATTCCAAAATAATTAGAATTATTACAAAATAATAAAGACTAGAGTGGGAATAAATGAAATAGAGGAGACTTCTCTAGTGTTTTTTAAGGAGGGAGTTGAATACAAAAGCCATTCTGCAGTATCAGGCCCTGACCAAGTCAGGCACAGAAACAAAGGTCATTGAGAATATGGTTGCAGATCTTTCAATACATGAGTAATGTAAGCACATTTCTTTACCTGAAGAAAGAGGCTCTTAAATAATAATATTGACTAATATTTTTGGGGGTGTTTGGCTTTGTTATAAGCACTTTACATGAGTCAACTCATTGAAACTCACAAGAACCCTATGACTTAAGTGTCATTATTATTATTATTATTATTTTAATGATCATAGAGAGGTTAAGTAACTTTAATTGTAAGCGCCATCAGGTAAACTATTTCACAGTTGCAGTACAAAGTCATAGCCAAGATTAGTCTAGTGTTTTAAAAATATCCACTACTGTCACATCTCTAACTTAATATAAAATAAAATAAGAATCCAGGCATTCGGGAAAGAATAATTAGCAACTCAAGGAAACTAAGTTATAGGAACATGCCTAAAACATTACCCCCTGAGGGCCTATACATGTAACCTGGGCACTATATTTGAACCCAGAGACTGTTATTAATCTGTGTGATAACCACTGTGCCATGCTTACCTACTGTATGAAGCATAGAATTTACAACATCGTCAACAAAATGTAGCTACTAAAATACTACCATATGGGGCCTTTTATGTGTCACATACTGTATATACGTTATCTCATATAGTACTCACCATAGCCTGTGCTTTACAGATGAGAAAACTGAGGTTTAGTAACTCGCCCAAGGCTACAGAGCTGATATGTGGTAGAGATGGGGTTCAAACCCTGCCTAATTCCAAAGTATATCCTATGCACATGGTTGAATTAGTCTGCCAGTCCATTTATTCCTTGATGGCCAAGATCCTAATTTGATCCTTACATTATAAAAAGCAGTCATAGGCAATGAAATGAGCAGAAATTTGTTAAATATGTAATTTGCTTTTAAACAAAAGTCTAATTTGAAAAATATTGCCAATTAACCACAGTCCTGGTTGGCTCATTACCTACCCTGAGTTTATTAGTTTTTGCCTGGCCTGTCTCCAGATGCTTCCCCCTTCTCGGTAATGTAATGATACTTCTGTAAAATATTTGTTTAATTTTTCTGAGCGTGTTTGGGATGAGCTGCATGTGGGGGATCTTTATTATTCATAGGCAAAAAAAGATCCACCTGCAGACTCTGCGGGCGCTGTCTGAAGTCCAGAAAATGACACCAAGAGAAAGGATGCGGCTGAGGAAGCTCCAGGCAGCTGATGAGAAGGCCAGGAAGCTGAAGTAAGTTGCCTTTCCTTAGGGTACCTTGGACTCTGGCCACTTCACAGGACTCCAAAGGAATTTACTAAAGAAAAGCAAAAGCAAAAACAAGAAATCAAAATGCATATACGCATTTATATTTGTTTCATCACTTACTCGTCCCCTCAAAAGACGGTTATTTCAGCCATAGGTGGTTATTGGATGCCAGCCACCATTAATGTCAGGCTTTCAGTCTTGGGTGCAAAGAAAGGTTGACTATCAGGGAGGTAATTAGTGATGAAAATATAGAGCTAGCCTACAAATGAAGCCTCATTGTTGCTGAGACCTCTTTTTTTTTTTTAATTAAAAAAAATTTTTTTAATGTTTATTCATTTTTGAGAGACAGAGAGAGACAGAGCATGTGCAGGGAAGGGGCAGAGAGAGAGGGAGACACAGAATCTGAAGCAGGCTCCAGGCTCCGAGCTGTCAGCACAGAGCCCAACGTGGGGCTCAAACTCACAAACTGCGAGATCACGACCTGAGCTGAAGTGGGACACTCAACCGACTGAGCCACCCAGGCGCCTCTGACACCTCTTGTACATATGCCAGCAAGAGAGTGAAGAGGGTGGCTTCACTATCTTGTCCTCACTCCCCAGATGTTTGCTGTACTCCCTCTGCCAGGAGACCTAGCTGGTCTATAGGGAGAAGAATGTCCCAGCAGGAAATTGTTGGCTTTAGGAAGCAGATTGGAAGCAGCTCTGTTCTTCCAAGTGAAACCCTTTGAAAAGTCAATGCTCAAGGCGGGCTGCTGGTGGACAGTATCACTAGGAATTAAAGTATTTGCGTGAAAAGGGAAAATTCCAAAGAGACCTAGACTCCCGATTTCTGAAAGACAGATTTTTCAGTTGGTAGATTATCCAGTTTCCTCATTCTTCTTCTTTGTTCCTCTGCCAACTTTTTAGTAGTTTAGAAGCCCCAACTAACAACTAGAGAGACAGAAAAGACCTGAAAGTCAAATCTGTTCATTTTGTGACCTTGGTAGCATATCTGAAAGAGGATTTAGAGGTATTCTCGCACTTGCTGTGCGTATCATGAGGAACCAAGGAAGAATCGGTGAGACTACTTCTTTTCCCTTAACACACGCTTTCTGTAATCAGTGTGGAAAGGTATTTCTGTCAGAGTGCATCAGGGGTAGTCGTGTGCTGGTAAATGTTTAACAACCACCTCTGGGGTTGTGGGGCAGGGGGTGTAAATACTCCCATGATGGCCAATTTCAGGCCACCGGTATGATATCATCGAATGTTCAGTTGGAAGATATGGACACAATCTGCTCTTGGGAACCTAGTGCAAACTGGTTTCTGCAAACCACAGCACCACTGAGTATGGGTTTTACTGAGAAAATATATTTACATAAATCCCTTGAGCCACTGTCACAGTCCCAGACCTATTTCTAACTCTTCGGGAATGGCAATATTCCTGCGGTACCATGACTCATGTCATTGTTTGAGGGTAAGAGGAAAATGAAATCTTTGACAGGAACAGATTAAAAAGGCAATTTAATAACTTATACGCATATTACAAATTATGTTTCAGATTAAAACTTTTTTATACACAAAGTAAGTAATCCATCTTCCACATGACATTCAATATGTTTCTTATTTAAAGGCAATGGTTTTAACTAAAGTTTGGTCCTAATTTTGTGAATAAATTACATTGGAATTGTTTTTGATCATTATTTTAGGATTCGAGTGCAGTCATAAAAAGACTCTATTGTCAGAAGGGATATAATGTATCCACTTTATAAACAAAATTTGACTACAGGGATGTTCAGTGACTTTTCAACAATATAAATCGAAATTAGCACACAAGTAATCCCCAGAACTCAAATCTTTCTTTCAGTTTGGTGGCAGGTCTGTTACTTTCTATTCTTCTATACTACACACAAAACAAAATGTGTCTGAGAAAAATTCCCCTTTACAGTGACTCTCAAGTTCTTTGCGTAAATTCTTTGACATCTAGCTCTAATCTCCTTGTGTGTTAATTCATCCTGAGAACAGTAGTCGAGTTATCAGTATGTGCTGGGCACTGTCTGGACGTCAGGGGCGCACACCCTTGCCACCACAGAGAATGCCCAGGGATCAAAGAAAGAACCACCTTCTTTTGCCTCAGAGGCATGCCTCAGGCATTCATTTTAGGGGCCTTAAGGATGGACGAGCAGCCAGAGCATTATCATGTGTGCTTAAAAGAGAATCAGGTGGGTTCTGCACTGCACTTTCCTTGATGAGGGAGAGACCCATTGACCTGGTTTTCCAACACCCCGGTTTGCCTGTTGAAACAGGGATCACGCTTACCTGCATAGTATAGATGTGGCTTTAGCAAAATGCAGCTGTTTTTTCTACATTCACTTTAAATCTGCAGAAAGCTTGCAGAAGAGAAATATGAAGAAAATAACAAACGAATGCAAGAGTTGAGATCTCGGAACTCTGAGCAGCTAACTATTGATGTTCTCCATGTAAGTGCTCTCTTGTTTTAAATTTCACATCAGACTTTGAATTGCTTCAGATTCATCACATTCATGTGGCTGATCAGGCAGGAAGAGGGACAAAGGGGAGAAAAAAGGCATCCAGACCAACTTTGCCCCATTCAGGGAGGAGGTAGTAGGGTTTATTTTAGAATATAGGCCAGTGGTTAGTGATGACAGTAATTCAGAGCAGCTGTACTTAGAGATGGATTGATAGATTCATCCAAAAACATCCAAGTGCATACTGTGTTCAGGATAACTCAATCAGCACGGAATGAACAACTGAGGAGTAAAATTATGACTTTGCAGAGCAAATTGTGTTCATATATAATTTTGAATTTCAGCCATGCTCTTGTTGCTTTACCTCTTTAGTCCATCGTTCTCTTTCTGTCTTATCTTTTATTCTTTCACTTTTTATTTGTCTCCTGTCTGTATCATTGTGCATTGTGTTAATACCCCTTTTGAACTTTGAATAATTACCTTAGAAGTCCAATAATAAGTAGGGTTTTGGAGTCCCATGAAATGGACCCTGAATCATGTCCCCTGCATCCCAAGCTCCTGAATAACAAATACCATTTTCCCTAATGGTTAAAAACATCATGGGTCTTGGTATAGGCTCTGATATTTAAGGAAGTCTTTCTTCAGGGTCGTATTTGTACAATAGACTTCAACTCCAACTTCCTATCTCTTCTGGTAAAAGCAACATGGGAAGGAGTCATTTTCATGGAGAACTTTACTGTCTCAAATTCTGTTTTTTCATTCATTGGAGATCTCTGCATCTGATTCTTTTTCTTTAGCAGTAAGAACCAAGCCCCCTGAAGCTGTGGGATGATCCCTGGAGTCTGGGGACACTAGCTCTGCTGTAGCTCAGTGATCAGAGAGCACCAAACTCTCAACCAGGCAGAGCTTAGAATCACTTGTTAATCCACCTTTCTGAAATATTTAGTGGTTGTGAGTGTTATAGATTTCTGAAAATCCAAAGTTGGACCAGTTGAGGGGCCCAGGCTTCTCTGACCTTAAGAGTTTCTCTCCTTTGGGGTGCCTAGGTAACTCAGTTGGTTAAGCATCTGACTCTTGATTTCGCCTCAGGTCATGATCTCAAGGTTTTTCAGATCAAGCCCCATGTTGGTCTCTGCACTGGCAGTGAGGAGCCTGCTTGGGATTCTCTCTCTCTTCCTCTCTCTCTGTCCTTCCCCTGCTCACTCTTTTTCTCTCTCTTTCAAAATAAAGAAATAAACATTTTTAAAAAAGAGTATCTCTTTCTTGGACCCTTTAGCAGATAATGTAGGGACACTGCTGACATGTGCTCAATCCCACTCACCCCACTCTCCTCCCATTGCCCACTCCATTAAGTGAAGCCAGCTGTGGGATCTGTTGTGGGTCCCAGAGAGACATGGGAGTTGGTATCATTCCCACTCATGAAACCTAGTGAACAGAGAAATTGCTGGCTGAAAGAGATGGAGTCAGCAGCAGTGTTGGATCCCTACTTGGAGAAAGGTCTTGATTTCACCACTGCATGGAAGGACCTGAGCCCCCTCCAAGCACTGAGTGCCTGTCTTCAGCTCCCCAGTTTTTAGGCCCTGAAATGATAACTTCTGGAGGTGCATGACTTTTCCTAGGTCTGTCAGCTTTCTTTACCATGGGACTGAGAATTGCCAATTGCCAAGGTCCTTGGGAGGAATCTGGCATGATTATAGAGATTCTGTGTTTGTTAGTGTGTGTGAAACTACTTGTTAATCATCTGAATAAAACTGGACATTTTCCCTGGAATGTTAAAGGGATTTTATCCTCAGAGGTTAGAAATTGAGAAGTACAGATGTGGTAATATTTTGTTGTATAAGACCTAAATAACTTTCTTTATTCCTGAAGTTGCTGTATGGCAAATACAAATGTAGTTTCAAGTATGATCTTACATTTTAGTGTCTGATAATTTACTTGATGTTTTTGCTTTTCTTCATTGACCTTTCAAAATAATAATTTGTGAGTTATTTTTTCATTTCGGATATTATTATCAGTGTTAAACAACTGTAAGTGATCCTATACACTATAAGTGATCCTGTACACTATAAGTGATCTTGTCCTTCTGTAAGCTGGGATCCTTGGGGGATCCTGCAGTAACTTTAAGGTAAAACCGAGACCATATGGGGGCGCCGGGTGGATCAGTCAGTTAAGTGTCCGACTCTCAGTTTCAGCTCAGCTCATGATCTCACGGTTTGTGAGTTCGAGCTCCGCATTGGGCTCTGCACTGATAGAGCTCCGCATTGGGCTATGCGCGCGCTCTCTCTCTCTCTGTCTCTCTCTCTCTCTCTCTCTGTCTCTCTCTCTCTCTCAAACAAATAAATAAACATGTTTTTAAAAACTGAGACCTTGGGGCGCCTGGGCGGCTCAGTCGGTTAAGCGTCCGACTTCGGCTCAGGTCACAATCTCACTGTCCGTGGGTTCGAGCCCCGCGTTGGGCTCTGTGCTGACAGCTCAGAGCCTGGAGCCTGTTTCAGATTCTGTGTCTCCCTCTCTCTCTGACCCTCCCCCATTCATGCTCTGTCTCTCTCTGTCTCAAAAATAAATAAATGTTAAAAAAAAAAAAAAAACTGAGACCTTATGGCAGGCAGAATCTTGGGAGATTTTATTAATTGTATATTATCCCACAGAACATGAGATCCAGACAGGATAGTCTAGATCTTGGCTCAACTCAGACAAGGAAAGTAAGGATTTCATAAAGATCTCATGAAGCCCAACCCCCAACTTCCCAGTGTCTACCTAGTTCTTTCTAATTCTATCTCATTTCCATCAGCAAGGAGCAAAAGGAGCAGGAGGGGAAGTGCCTAATGCTTGTCCAGAGGTGTTGGTTCATTCTTTGATCATCTGAGTTTTAGTGTCATGAACGTCTTTGACTCTGAGCTTTCCAGAGGCACATTCCTAAGTTTACATATTGATGGGGACAGGAAATGTTGCGAGCAGATGCGTGGTTCTTGCAGACAGTATCTTCTAGCTGGTTCAGTCTTACAGACAGGGCTGCATAGCCACCCCCGGGTATCTTGCCCTATTTCCTGAAGTTCTCTCAGCCACTTCCTTCTGCACATTTTTAGCATCCCACCTTCTCAATTTCAAATGTCACCTTCTCTTCAGAAAAATCTTCTTTGACCTCACAGGTGAGCAATCCACTGGCTCTCCTCCAAATTCTTTAATTTTTTTTATTTTGATGTTTATTTTTTGAGAGAGAGAGAGAGAGCAAGTAAGGCAAGGGCAGAGAGAGAGGGAGACACAGAATCTGAAGCAGACTCCAGGCTTTGAGCTGTCAGCACAGAGCCTGACACAGGACTCAAACCCAGGAACTGCGAGATCAGGACCTGAGCCAAAGTTGGATGCTTCACCGACTGAGCCACCCATGTGCCCCTCTCCTCCAAATTCTTATGGCTTACAGCAATGCTTCTCAAACTTCAAAATTCACCCAAACCATCTGTTGATTTTGTTAAAAGGCAGATTCTGATTAGTTTGGTCTAGGATGGGGCATAGGGTGCTGAATTTTTAACAAGCTCCCTGGTGATTCCGACCTGCTGGTGTGGGACCACATTCTGATTAATAATGGAGAGGAACTGGTGCTCTTGAAAGCCATTCACCTTCAGATGAAGGAAGGCTTGGAAAAGCCACCGATGAACACTTTCTTATAGACTGTTTAGGAAAAAAGCATTTAAAGGGAACAGACATAAAGGGGAAGTGACCTTGGGCTTCCTTGTTGGCCCCAGAAGGAGGATGAAGAGAGGGGCCTGAGCAGGCAAGAGACACATTTAATCATATTCATGGGCACAGAGTGAGGCAGGTTTAATGATACTCAAAGAACAAAGGAGAGAGAAAATGGGAAGCTAAACACTTTGCAGAGGGACTGGAAAGCTTTAAACATCTCAAGGAAAAGCACCAGTGAGCTGGAAAAGATGAAATAAAGTGTAAGAAACAAATTGGATTAATCAGATGCAAGACGCTGAAGAAAAACGTGATGAAGAGAAAAGGAAGAGGAAAATGCTCCCGTCTTCACCCATACACATATTTAGGATTTCATTTCATCCTGATTTCACTGGGGCTCTGTTCTCAATTCCTTCTTCCTTTTTTTGCCAGCTGAAGCAAACTACCTTATATTTCAAAAGCAGTCATATAAGATAAAAATCAGAGTTAAGAGAGAAAAATGGGCTGGCTCTGTCATTTCTTAAACATGTTATAAAAATTCTTCAAGGCGTTTAGGAGAATAGCTTGTTTTGTTTTCCAGACCCTAACTGACAGGGGCCTTTTATTTGGGCAGGCATTTTCTGCTTGGCTGAACCTGGGTGTTGAAATCTGGAAGCATAGTTGAATGTGGATTCATGTTAGGCACTATTTCTTTAAAGGATGGTAGCTTCAAAACAAAACAAAACAAAACAGAAACTAGATTCCTGTAATACACATGAGAAGCCTGATCTTTCTTTTATCCTGCGGCACATCCAGTTGTGATGGGGCCAGAAATGGCTTTCTGTGGAGAAGTGCGTAACAGTTCAGGTCTCCAAGAATGAAATAATAATGGGAATCCACGATCAGATCAAGTTCTTGCTAAGAGAAGCAATTATGACAATTCTGTTTTTTTCAAAGAGAATCTTAGTGAATCAAAGTCCGTTGAGGGTCCAGGTACTGATTTTCCAATGATTTCTGATGTAAAAGTGAAAACACATTTCGCGCAGTCTCTGTGTGCTTAAAGTTCTTAAAGTTGCCTGTGTGCTATCAGTGATCCTTTCAAATTTGGAACCAATTTCACCTCCTGCAACAAGTATACAGCACAAAAAATGGACTTCTTAAAAATATTTTATGACTGTGTTTTCACAAATGCCATACCACAGTATGGCAAGCTTTGTTTTGCTTATTCATTTAAGATTAGTTTGAATTTAACTTTCTGTTTTTAATAAGATACTCTCAGAGTAGTTCTCCATGAAAGCCACTTTTCAAGGAAAATAGGTCAGTTCAACATTAGCTCTACTGAAAAAAAGACTGGAAAAAAAAAAAGCAAAATGATCTATTGGAATACCGATATATACATTTGAGAATTTTACTTTTTTCGAAGTGTGAATTCTTTCATTTTTTTTAAATGTTTGTTTATTTTTGAGAGAGAGAGAGTGTGTGTGTAAGTGGGGGAAGGACAGAAAGGATCCAAAGCAGGCTCTGCACTGACAGCAGAGAGCCCAATGCGAGGCTTGGAACTCACAAACCATGAAATCATGGCCTGAGCCAAAGTCTGACACTTAACTGACTGAGCCCCCAAGGCACCCAAGTGTGAATTCTTTCATGTGGTCTTTTAGATCTCTTTCTTTAGGAAACTGGAATTCACAGCATCATGGAACCGTTCAAGCTAGAAGAGAACGTGGAAGTCATCCAAGGCAACAGCTGTACTTCTGAGATGAGGAAACTGAGCAGGGCTGGGCTAGGGTGAGGTAGATGTGATACCCTGGATGCAGAATTGAAGAGGGTATTTGTTCTTAGCTGCTGATCGCTCCTTCTCTTTCAGGAGCCTAAAAGTGAGTACCCCCTTCAGTTGTGTTCATGGCCATTCCTCCTGCCTCACCCTAGTCATGGAGCTGAAATTGATGGTGTAGAAGATTAAGGTCACCTTAATTGGTGTTTCTCTTATCTCAAGCTGCCTTCTTAAAATCTGAGATGGTATCATGTTTAAGGGAGAGGATTAGGCAGACTTTTATTTCCAAATAGTCTTCTAAACAATATTGTTTCATTTGTGGTAATGCCGTTTTTTTCTATCAGCTTCTCATGAATTGTTAATTACCTTCCACAAGGAATCTGATGACCTGACTTCAGAGAACCTGCCTGAGTCTCAGCCCATTCCTTCCTTGGATCTTGGCCCACTTGAGTCAAGTATAGAAGACACCATAGCTGACCTTGGAGATCATGGTATGAGTTTGCATCAGTATTCAGAAGGGTTGGCACATAGGTTGGTATGGCTGACCCTCCAGTAGGCCTGGCTGGCTTCTGAGAAAAGCTTTGGATGCATGTGACCAGCTTCCATCAGTTTTCCAGAGCTGAGCTGGGACCAAGATAAAAAGCAGAGAAGCCAAGGGATTTGTTTGTCCTCTCCTATCTTCTTTGTGATAGATGAAGATGAGTTAGAAACTCACGCCAGGCGAGAAACCTCTTCTACATGAGTTAAACAACGTCATCATTAACTGACTTTGGAATAGTGTAGGACCGAGAATGTGCTGAATTACCATGTCCCTCTTCTATAAGTGATTCCCTGGCTTTCATAATGTAAAGTGAATAAATGAAGTCAGACCTTGGAAAATCAACTATATGGATGATAATGGATGTGCAAACAATACCAGAAGAAAAGTGCTCAGAACTGTTACCCAAATGAGGGAGATCTATCCTAGCTTAATGGTTAAAAACATGATTTAGGAGTGAAAAAGCTACCTATATTAGGGAAGCCCCTGGCAACTTAATCTTTCTAGATCTCAATTTCCTTATCCATGAAGCAAGAATAATATCTTCTTTAAGGGTTGTTGTGAAAAGCAGATGAGAGTAGGCATGTGATGTGCTCTTACCTTAGTGCCCCACACAAAGTAAGAGCCAAAGAAAGAGAAGCATTTATGATCCTGAGAGGAAGGGTTATGACCATCTCAGGGCCATCTCAGTCTTGTACCACTATCCCCAGTGCCTAGCACAAAGTGCTAGGAATATTGTAGGAACTCCATTAATATTTCTTGAATGAATGGATGGATGGATGGATGGATGGATGGATAGATAAATGAATGATATGTTAGTCTCGACCTCTGAGAAGCAGATGTCAACATGGGACTAAAAGTGCAAGGATAGGGGCGCCTGGGTGGCGCAGTCGGTTAAGCGTCCGACTTCAGCCAGGTCACGATCTCGCGGTCCGTGAGTTCGAGCCCCGCGTCGGGCTCTGGGCTGATGGCTCAGAGCCTGGAGCCTGTTTCCGATTCTGTGTCTCCCTCTCTCTCTGCCCCTCCCCCGTTCATGCTCTGTCTCTCTCTGTCCCAAAAATAAAAATAAAAACGTTGAAAAAAAAATTTTTTTAAGTGCAAGGATATTATTAAGGGAAATGGCTACATGGAAGGCATTAGGGAAGGAGCTGGAAAAGGCTGAGAGAATCATCAGGCCATGATTCAAGTCATGTTTCAAGTAAAAAAAGCAAGGTTTGGTGGATGTGTACTAGTCTGCTAGGCAGACACAGGCAACCAAGACATCAGGAAGTCTTCAAGCAAAGTCAGTAGCTAGGGGCTTGCTCGAGTATCCCTGCTGCACTCTGGCAGTGGTAGTGGCCTCTGACAGAACACAGGGATGGATTTCAGAACACAGCCCTGGGGCCCTTGGCCAGTTAACACTCCTTGCAGTGGGAGGTCTTCAAGGTGCATCCTCATGGCTGCACAATGGTGTAACAGCTCTCTGGCAGTAGTTGAGTTCTCTTTCCAAAGTGAGGGTGAAAGTGGTGAAATTTGGATTAACTGGTCATCACAGCCCAAATTCACATTTGATATCTTCCTGCCAGAGCCATTAAAGCTTGTGCTGTCTCCTTCACCTGTAAGGAAACTAGCACCTAAAGCTTTTTAGGTTGACATTTTATTTTATTTTATTTTATTTTATTTTATTTTATTTTATTTTATTTATTTTTTTTTTAATTTTTTTTTCAACGTTTATTTACTTTTGGGACAGAGAGAGACAGAGCATGAACGGGGGAGGGGCAGAGAGAGAGGGAGACACAGAATCGGAAACAGGCTCCAGGCTCCGAGCCATCAGCCCAGAGCCTGACGCGGGGCTCGAACTCACGGACTGCGAGATCGTGACCTGGCTGAAGTCGGACGCTCAACCGACTGCGCCACCCAGGCGCCCCTAGGTTGACATTTTAAAATGGTACTGTGGAAGCCATCTGGTAACAGGTGTTATTGACAAACAAATATATATATCAGGTGGATTTGCATCTTAAATCCTTTTCAAGTATTTCTTTAATATGTTGTTATTCTCCAAAGGTAAAACTTGGGAGAATAGAAATATCCCATGGGCCTTTCCTTCCAAAAATATAAAACTGAGAGGCCATTGGATAGCACTTGATATGGAAGGCTTATGCTTTGCTATATAAGGCAGAGCCATCGCTATGTAAAAAGAGGAATCCCCAGGACAGGATATTGAGTGGGTGGTCTAGGATCAAGAAGTCTGGGGCCAACCTCTGTGTCTCAAATAAGAAAAGTACTGGGGTGCCTGGGTGGCTCAGTCGGGTAAGCGTCTGACTTCGGCTCAGGTCCTGATCTTGCGGTGTGTGAGTTCCAGCCCTGTGTCGGGCTCTGTGCTGACAGCTCAGAGTCTGGAGCCTGCTTCAGATTCTGTGTCTCCTCCTCTCTCTGCCCCTCCCATGCTCATGTTCTGTCTCTTCCTGTCTCTCAACAATAAATAAACGTTAAAAGAGGTTTTTTTTAAAGTAGGAAAAGTACTTACTACTCATTCCATGGAGGAGAAACCAAAGACATTAAGTAATTTGCTCAAGAACCCAGAAGTGCCTAACTTCTAGAGCAGCACCCTTTCCATTCCCCCAAAGTGTATGTATTTGGAGGTGGTGGATGGGAGCAATAGGTTTGTAAGAAGCAGACAGGAGTCAAATGAATTGGACTTTCAAAGGGCAGAGTCTTTGTGTATCCCTATGCTAATTTTTGTGAACTGTAGTAGTCAGATTACTCCTTGGCTAGCTCTGACCACAGGTTGCACCTGCTACTGGGAAACTCAAGCCAATATCCTCCTTTATCTTTTATCATGGAGGTTTCAATATGGTAGACCAGGTATTGATTTACCAGCCACACTGGAAATGGTGAAATCTACTATGACTACCTTGTTTATACTATAAGGAAACACTACCATAATAAACTGTCAGATCCAAAAGATGCCTTGTAGTTTTAATTGAGCCAAATGCCTTGTAGAATAGTTTAAACATTCCCTTTTTTTCCTCCCTGTAAATTCATATTTTCTAAATTGAAAAGGGATATTTGTTTTTTATGAATATAATTTATTGTCAAATTGGCTTACATACAACACCTAGTGCTCATCCCAAGTGCCCTCCTCAATGCCCATCACCCATATTCCCCTCTTCCCCACCCCCCTGTCCACCCTCAGTTTGTTCTCTGTATTTAAGAGTCTCTTGTGGTTGGCCTCCCTCCTTCTCTGTAACTATTTTTTTCCCCTTTCCTTCCCTCATGGTCTTCTGTTAAGTTTCTCAAGATCCACATATGAATGAAAACATATGATATCTGTCCTTCTCTGACTAACTTACTTCACTAACCATAATACCTTCCAGTTCCATATGCATTGCTGCAAATGGCATGATTTCATTCTTTCTCATTGCCAACTAGTATTCCATTGTATATATAAACCACATCTTCTTACCCATTCATCAGTTGACGGACACTTAGACTCTTTCCATAATTTGGCTATTGTTGAAAGCACTGCTATAAACATTGGGGTACACGTGCCCCTGTGCATCAGCATTCCTGTATCCCTTGGGTAAATTCCTAGTAGTGCTGTTGCTGGGTCATGGGGTAGTTCTATTTTTACTTTTTGAAGGAACCTCCACACTGTGTTCCAGAGCGGCTGCACTAGTTTACAGTCCACCAATAGTGCAAGAGTGTTCCCGTTTCTCCACATCCTCACCAGCATCTGTAGTTTCCTGATTTGTTCATTTTAGCCACTCTGACCGGTATGAGGTGGTATCTCAGTGTGGCTTTGATTTGTATTTCCCTGATGATGAGTGACATTGAGCATCTTTTCATGTGCCTATTGGCCATCTGGATGTCTTCTTTAGAGAAGTGTCTATTCATGTTTTCTGCCCATTTCTTCACTGGATTATTTGTTTTTGGGGTGTGGAGTTTGGTGAGTTCTTTATAGATTTTGGATACTAGCCCTTTGTCTGAGATGCCATTTGCAAATATCTTTTCCCATTCTGTCGGTTGCCTTTGGGTTTTGTTGATTATTTCCTTTGCAGGGCAGAAGCTTTTTATTTTGATGAAGTCCCAATAGTTCATTTTTCTTTTAATTCCCTTGCTGAAAAGGGAGATTTAGAACTATGAAAATGTTCTTTGTGTTGATGATTGATTAGAGTTGTGGGCAACCAGAAGATTGTTAGTGACCACATATCTTAATCATAAAATTTTGAGGCATGAGACTTTAATTCGTTGATGAGTTCTGAAGTTGTTATTTCTCCCATTCTCTATGCCTTTTTTATTTTTTAGGTTTATTTATTTATTTTGAGAGAGAGAGAGAGAGCCAGGGAATGGGCAGAGAAAGAGGGAAAGAGAGAATTCCAAGTAGACTCCATGCTGTCAGCACAGAGCCCAATAGGGGGCTTGAACTCAGGAACCGTGAGATCATGATGAGCTGAAATCAAGAGTCAGATGCTTAACCAACTGAGCCACCCAGGCGTCCCCCTGTTCTCTTTGCCTTTTAGAAGATATGACTCCAAACATTAAGCATCCAGAGGAAGTTTTTGTTTATTTTTTATCTAGCATGTATATGTAGAATAAAATTACAGTCTTTTTTTTTTAAGCTTCTACACCAAATGTTTAATCACTCTTTGATGTTGAATTGGGAAATTCCCTTTGGGATGTGAGGAGTTAGTTGCAGAGAAAGAAAACAGAGTAAGACATTATTTACATTTGATATGCATTTAGTTGACTACAGCTGATTTAATATAGGCAAAGTCATGGATAACCATTATAATCAAATGAGAAGGCACAACTGGAATGCTAAAGAAATGATCCCTATTTAACTCTTTATATGTAATACTGATGATTTCTTGAACGTTAATTTTTGCCAGAATTTCATTATACTTTACCCTTGTTTTCAGCAATTTCATTGCACTTTAGCCTTGTTTTCAGCAATTCACAGTTAAGTTTCAG